CACGAAATACGATGGGTACAGGCACCTGCAAAATGCCACTATATGCCGCAAGATTCTCTTCGCTGTAAACGACGTAATTAGTTTATGTCTTCGAATGTAGTTGCATTTTTGAGACATTCACTGACTACAATAAAAAAAGTGAAAATAATTGTTTTGTTATACGATTTAAAAAAGTAACTTAAAAATAAAATGAAATCAAATTTCATAAGAAGGTGAGCCTTTTATGTTTTGCGGCAACGTTCAATTTTGGAAACCAAAAACATTATATAGAAAAGAATTAGTAACTGTAATTCAAAAATTAAAAAAATTTACACTATTGCTCTCAGCATGTTAAACACTTATACTTTTTTACTAAATCAGAATGAATGAGATCAGCGAAAAAGACAAGTTGTGTCCATCTGAAGGAAGATCCAAGCGTCAAAGAAAAAAACGCCTACGAGGATATAAATTTTATTCTTGAAAACTTAGAATTACGCATTAGAACGGTTTTACCTTATTTCTTAAATTAAGAAAAAAAAGCAGTTTCTAAGTAAGGCTTTTGATCTTTATCTCTACAGTTTAGACAGTCAAATCGTAAATGGTAAAAAAACAAACTTTTCCGCTTGACATGTAACATGTTTTTGCAGCACTATTAATAATTTGGTCAATTGACTGCATAGCAAAATTGAATGTCATAAATTCACAGATTGGCCTTAGTCCAGCCATAGCTGCTCCAATTGCCAGACCAGTAAATCCCATTTCTGAGATTGGTGTATCAACTACTCGATTACCACCAAACTTCGTAAATAAACCTTTGGTGACCTCAAAGAATAAATCTAGTTATTTAAAACTGTAGACATTTGAACAGAACTCAAGAACAGTTACAAATTTAAAAGATAAATATAATGCAAACAAAATGCTCTTTTTTCGCATATATTTCAACGCCAATATGTACCTTATAAGCTCCGTCGTATTCTGCTACTTCTTCACCGATAATAAAAACTCGTTCATCTCGTTCCATTTCTTCAACTAAAGCTTGATTTAGTGCTTCTCTGACGTTTATACTTCCGGTTCCAGAACTGGAAGCTGCTGCTGTAGAATAAGTCAAGCAAGATAAGCGACATCTTTTGAAAAAGCGCATTAATCGCGAAATACCAATTTTTCCGATTATCATTTCATAAAACAGAATCGAATTACACCTGAAAAAAAAAGAGAAACAGATACAAGTTCAGTTAACAAAGGCAAAAAGTTCTTTGTTTAAAAGTTCTAAATAAAGCTGTTTATATAACCACTCAAAATTTGGCTAATCCAACTATTTCAGAGAAGAAAAATATAAAAATTTAAAATGAATATGAAACACAGACAGTTAAGCGATGTATTGACTAAATTAGTATAGAACATTTCGGCAACCTTTTCACCTAAAAATCTTTTCTTTAAAAAATTATTTTGTCGCAATTTTTTACTGAAGAATACTTTTTTCTTATTGAGCTATCAGCTTGCCGTATAAGTTTACAAAGTTCCCCGCGAAAAAACTTTGATTTAAAGCAATTTTACAAGCGGCGCTGAAAGTCTGATCTCAATTTAGGCTGAAATAGTGAAAATTGCTACTGGCGGAAAAAGGAATTAAAAACCTCGATCATGTTAGCCAAGTATCTGAAGGCTTTGAACCAGACTAATAATGATCTGCCCAAATATTGCCTATTCATAATCAACGTATCAGTCTATAGGCTGTAGATGACCGCTGTTCTGAGAGATGATAATAATAACTGCCTCGGTCAATGTGGCTGTTGTTGACTAAATAATTAAAAGATTCATCCTAAAATACAGAAAACTAAAAGGATCTTACAACTACAGATTTTGGTTGACTGTAGTTCAAAGTTTAAATCAATTACCTTCTCAGAGACAAATGATAGTATAAATCTTACCTAACTACAAACAGAATGCTCAAGATTTGTAATTTCTGATAAGTGCTTAAAATAGCTTTGTAAACAAATTGAACTTTCAAGTTGTTTGAGAATCAGTGTTTGTTCAAGACAGACGCTACAAATAATTTAAGTTTTCCAGCGTATTTCAATCATCATATTGAGAGTGGGTTTCTTTACTTGTGATAACGTTTTTGTCTTAAAGTCTGTCTTTTGTTTTTTTTTGTTATACTATTTTAATTAGTAAATACTTTTTTTTCTATAAATTGTAAATACAAAAAATCTAATATGGCTTAGAATCAGGAAAACCACATTTTTATCTCCAGTGACTAAAGCTGCATTCTTTTTTGGGTTTTATTTAAATAGTTGATTATGACACTGCAGTATACACGAAACCAGGCTCTGATACTAAATCTTGGTGCAACAGTGTTTCTTCAGAATGCTTACAGATTTCAACATTTCAACTTATTTTTAGACTTTAGTATTGGTGCTCTGTCAAAAAATGTTTATATCTTAATCATAAAAAATTTTGATTTATAAGTAGCAACCATACTGTTACTGTTAAGCGTATTAATGTTGATATTTGATTTAAAAAAAAAGTGAAATGATTCACTAAAGGTATGCAAAAAAAAAAAAAAAAAATAGACTGTTAATGTTTATGATT